AGCGGGTCCTGCCGCGGGGCGGGGGTCGTGCTGGGCTCCGGTCCCGGGCGGGAGGCGGTTCTGGGCTCCGTCCCGGGGACTGGGCCCGGTGGGTTCGGCTCGTGCCCCAGGGCTCGGGCAGGGACCGGAGGTTGTTTCCCGCGGCTCAGGCGGGATTTGTGCCGGGAAAATCCTTTCCCTTCAGCCTCTTTTCTTACATCTCCCCGCAGACCACCCTGCAGACGGACGAGGTGAAAAATGTTCCCTGTGGGACCAGGTGAGATGTTCAGCGTTTACCCCCCATGTCCTTTATTTTAGCTAGAAACCTTTCGAGCCTGTCCCCTCCCTCTGTCTCGCTAGAAAACCTGTCATTTTGCCCCCACGGCCCAGATTTCCCACTGCTGCCCCAGCTGAGATCCCTGGAAGGCCCAGTTTGGGGTTTCCCGGGGGGGCTGGGGTCCTGTGGTGCTGCTGGGCCTCAGCCCCCCAGAGGGGAGTGTGAGTCCCCAGAGCTGCCCTGCTGCTTTATTAATTTGTGTCCCCTTCTCTGGCAGTGGAGGAGTGATGATTTATTTTGACAGAATCGAGGTGGTGAATTTCCTGATCCAGAGTGCAGGTGGGTGACCCTGGGGGGTGCAGAGGTGGTGCCTGGGGGTGCTTTCCTGGCAGCTCCCCCTGCCCCCTGGGAGTTCTGCTCTAAGGGAAAAGCTCCACTGGGGTCAGAAAAGGTGCAGAGCTGGGAGCAGGGAGGGGTGCAGGGGTTGGGGTGCCCTGAGGGCAAAGGGGAGTGACCTGGGCAGCCTTTATCCCAAGTGCTGGGATTTGAAACCCCAAGGAAATATCAGTTGGGTGCCCTGGAGTGTCAGCAATCAGTGAAACTGCCCTGGAGGAGGTGTTGGTTTGTGGGGTGGGCTCTGGGCTGGGGATGGGCTCCTCATTTCAGCCTGGCACCACAACTCTTGCTGCTGGGACTGAGCTGTGAGGGTTTCCCTGGGGTGCTCAGACATGCCCCCCATCCCTGCTCTGACGCCAGCTCCTCCTCCCTTGCAGTCTATGACATCGTGAAGAACTACACTGCTGACTATGACAAGGCTCTGATCTTCAACAAGATCCACCACGAGCTGAACCAGTTCTGCAGTGTCCACACGCTGCAGGAGGTCTACATTGAGCTGTTTGGTGAGCTGCCCCCCTGCTGCTGGCTGGGTGGGGCTGCTGGTGCTTTGTCTGGGCTCCTGGTGCCAAGGCTTTTTACCCTTAACCCAGTGTCTGTTCTGGTTGGAATCAGGGTTGTTAACTGGTTGCTGGTGTTTAATCCATGGAGGTTTTGGTGCTGAGCCCTTCAGTGTGTTGTGACAAGAGCAACCCAAAGCTGCCAGCAGCAGAGGGCTGGAGGGGAGAGAGCTGTAATTGTCCTGCTGGCACAGCTGCAGTTCCTCATCAGCCAGGGTGTAGCTGGACTGTGGTGCTTCTGCATCAGAGCTGCACGTGTTCCCACCTTCAGGAATGAGCAGTCTGAGCCACCCCAGCCCGTGCTGCAGTGCTGACAGCAAAGCTGCCTCCTGGGCTTTGCAGTTACTTTCTCTTTTGGTTTTCCCCCAACCAGATCAGATTGATGAAAACCTGAAACTGGCCCTGCAGCAAGACCTGACTACAATGGCCCCTGGCCTGATCATCCAGGTAATTGGGGTTGCAGTTGGAGGTGTTGGGGTGCAGATTGTGGGGAGGGAGAAGGAGGAAATGAGCAGAACCTTCCAGGCCATGGCTGTGCTTGATCTGAGGAATGAGAACAGTTTCCTTCCCATCTCCTCCCAGCTCTGATGTGCTGGGTGTGTCTGGGTGTCCCTGTGGGTGCTGGTTTGCCCAGGGGACAGTCTCCTGTGCTGTCAGAAGGGTCAGCCCCAGGTGTGCTCTGTGGGTGTGGAGCAGGTCAGAGCTCTGTGTGGCAGAGCCCAGCCCAGGCTTGGCTGCCCTGGCTGTGGCTGCTGGCCCCACGTTTGCCTCGGCCTCTCTTTCCAGGCAGTTCGAGTTACAAAGCCAAACATCCCTGAAACAATCCGGAGGAATTATGAGCTGATGTAAGTGCCTGGGCCTTGTCCCTTTGTGCTCCCCAAAGGAATCATTCATCCAGACTAATGTGTTTTCCCAGCAGGCAGTGATCAGGCTGCCCTGTGCCAGGCTGGAGCTGCTGCTGCCCGGCAGGAGGGGCTGGGGGGCTGCAGCAGAGCATTTTCTCTCTTACATAGTTTAAATAATTTCCTCATTAACAGTAGCCCCAAAACTGTACAGATGTGTCTGGTCTGTGGCCTGCCCCTTGCAGCAGGCAGCACAGCAGCCTGCAGGGAGGGTTTCACACTGACTGGACTGAAAAGTTCTCCTGCTGTGGAGAGGAGGCAAAGGGCTTTGGTTTAGAACAGAAGCTGTGTGTGTGTGCAGGTACCTGGCCCCACTGTTTGGCTGCTGCCTGCCCTGGAGAGGTGCTTCAAGGAGGGTGATCCAGCAGCTGATCCTGCAGCTGTGGTGGGCTGCACACCTTTTGTAACCTGCTTCTTCTGACTCCCTAGGGAGAGCGAGAAGACGAAGCTGCTGATTGCAGCCCAGAAGCAGAAGGTGGTGGAGAAGGAGGCAGAGACAGAAAGGAAGAAAGCCCTCATTGGTCTGTGCCCCTCTGCCTGCAGGCAGTACTGGGATGGGGGGCAGAAAAATGAGCCCAGACACCAGGGAGGGACCCAGCAGGCTCCCTGCTGCAGATCAGAAACTGGCAGAGAAACTCCAGAGGCTGTCAGGGGGGTTCCAGCTGTGCCCACAAACTGACGCCTTCCGAGGGCTGAGAGTTCCTGCTACAATTTGTTCCCTCTGGGAGGGGGTGGTGAGGACTTCCCACGGGTGAAGTTGCCTGTGGCTTTAGGAAGACAGCATGATGGTCACGTGCACGTGGTTTTGGTCGTTTCAGAGGCAGAAAAAATCGCACAAGTCGCTGAAATAACCTACGGACAGAAAGTGATGGAGAAGGAAACAGAGAAGCGAATTTCAGAGATTGAAGGTGAGTGGTGAAGTTTCCAGTGAGGAGTGTCCTGTGCTGAACCTCATCTAGAGATCAGAACTGCAAGGTCCTTGGCTGGACAGTGGGCACATTAGAGATGTTAAGGATGCAAACAGCACATAAGCTTTAAGGTGCTCAGTGTGAGGATAAAACTTTGTTATGTGCAAGATGGTTCCTTGTCCTGATGGGGAGATTCTTCCTGCCCCTTCCATCTCCCCCAGGAGCAGCTGCAGGACAGCAACCAAGACAGAACCAGGACAGGCCTAGAATAAGCTTTCAGTACCAGTTAAGATACTAAGTTTAAAAATGCTCAGCTGAAATGAGCTTCGAGAAGCTGAATTTTTGGTTACATGCTAAGGGAAGAAGTCTTAGGGTTTTTTCTGTTAACTTTTCCAAATTCAGACCTTTTAAAGCTTGTTAGTGTTGGATTTCATGAGTTGAAAGTGCAGAGTACACAGTTTGAGACAGATGTAAAAAGGGAAGCATCAACTGAAGTTCTCTTGAGTGATGCCTGTATGACACTGGGGAGCAGTGGAGGGGAAGGTGCTGACCTCCTCTGGCTGGTGACCAGTGCCAGGACAGGAGGAAATGGAATGAGGCTGTTCCAGGGGAAGTCCAGGCTGGACATTAGCAAAAGGTTCTTCACTGTGTGAAATACTTAGAAAACAAGACTTCATACTAGACATAGTCTGGCAGAGCAGGATCTGTTAAGTAGCTTCTGACTCTTAGAGGTTGAGAGAGGGGATTGGGACCTTCTTTTGTGGCATGTTTAGTATTTTGCTTTAACCAGTAAATTTGTCATTTCTGTTTATTTTTTTCCTTTTCTATTCTCCTTGAGTTTTGCAGCCAACTAGTTTTAGGAACTAAGACTGAGCAGAGGCAAGAATAGGAATGTTTCTTTGCAGACTGTACTTCTTCAAACTTCCTCAAGGTGATCTGTCTAGGAGGTTGTACAAATTCCAGGATATGAGGAGGGGTCTGCAGTTCCAACTCAGAGTGGCAAGGACTTATTTTCAGTGATTACATTCATTATAGGCCCTGTCAAGCTTTGCAGAAGGCCACTGAGGAGCCAATTAAGAGTTTTACAGATCAGCAGGTTCTCATTAGGAAGTTCTTAGCAGAAATACAATGGATTTTATTTCTTATAAATGTGTGTCACTGGGTGTCAGGCTTTCAGTTCAACTCTGCTGGCAGAGGATTCCTGTCTCCCTCAGTCCTTCTGATGCCTCTGACTGGGACTGCTCTTTTTTAGCCAAAAGAGGGGAAGTTTCAGGCCAAACCATCCAATTGTTTACATGATTTTTTTTAAGTGTAGCAGCTCACAGGACTCCTGCTAACACAGGTAAAGAAATGGTTTATCCAGCTGTGCAACTCCCAAGTCCAGACTGGCACATACTACAATGTGGCTCCCTGTCAGAGAAGGAATGTCACAAGATCCCATGGAACCAGCTGGATCAAACTGTTCTTAGTCTTTAATATGGTGGGCTGATATTATCACTGGATAGATTAAAAGTCAGCAGGGAAAAACAGGAGTGCAGTACAGAAAGGAGAGGTGTTTCCTTCCTTAAATGCCCTTGATAGCAGTCAGGGGATGTCAGTAGCCTGCAGGATCAGACCCTGTATGCAGTTGACACTGCAGAGAAGCAGCTCTCCAACATCTGTTGGAGGCACTGAGCCAGGAAAGGTTCAAATTGCCTGCCTCCTTGTGCCAGATTCCTACCCTCAGTATCCCAGGCAAAATCCCATCTGGGGAATTGCTTTCCCAGTCTCAGGCTTCATCTGCAGAGCAGGCTCCTGTGCTCTGCCTGGAGCTCTGCACAGACACTGTGGGTAAATTCCACTACTGCAGCAGGAGTTGCTGTGTGTTCAGCTCCAGAATTAGTGGCTGGGTGGGGGAGAAAAAG